TTTTTTTTTTACAGGGAATACTGCTTTACAGCATAATACAGCATTTAATAGTCATTTAATAATTGATTCATTTAGCAACATTACCACTGTAATTTTCCTGTTTATTACTGTGAAGCTGCACTGAAACAATCTGCATTGTATAAAGTGCTTTATAAATAAATGTGACTTGACTTGACTCTAATTTCCAGACAATAGTGGACATAAAAAGGTGTTTATGTAACAAATAACACACATAACGCGTGGTAAAACACACACATACACATTATGCATGATCAGATCCCATCATGTAAAAGAGTGGATTACTGTAAAAGGTGTGTGTTTGTGCATATTTGTGAAAGAGAATTATTGAGTGTGTTACTGAAGGAGACACAGTGTTGTTTGGAAAGAATGTGTTATTATGTCAAGGGGATGCATCTTAATGAGAGCTAGTGTGCGTTACTGAGGAAGTATGCATTGGCAAGATGTGAAACACAGATGTGAAACTGGACACACAAACACAAACAAAGCCATGGCCGCTTCTTCACAGCACCGCCCAGCTCCTGACCCTGTTTCTGCTGTCCTGCGCTTCTTTACACGGTCGCTCTGTGTTTGTTGTCTTTATGAGGAATTCGTATGTGCTGCGTAACCCCCCCAAAACCCATCAGGATCAAGTCTACAGTTACACACTCAGCAATCATTGCTGTATTGATTACATTAGGGTGTATATTTACAGGAAACACGCACTCTCGGTATTAAATTCTAGACTGTTCCATAACCTCAGGTTCAACATTTTGCTTCAGGCTGTTGTGATTGTTATTGTGCTTTTAACGTCCACAGCTTTTTCTCGAAAAACATCCATCAATCTCCTGAAGAAACAGCTAAAGCTGACTCTATGGATGTATGACGTCAAGTAAAATTGTGCATGATTTTAAAAATGATGATATCCAAAACAATACATAAAGTGATATAAAAAAAAAGACGAGGCACACTTCCTTGTAAAGTTCACGTCCTGAAAAGATGTCGGATTTTTTAATCCATTATTCGACAGGGTTGTTCTTAAATGTAGCACTGATTCCAATGGATCCTCTGCAGTGAATGGGTGCCGTCAGATGCTTGATCTCTGCATATTTCTCTCCTGTTTTAGACTTTTTCCACTGGAGAAAGCAATATTATGAAATAGAGAACTCGTGTTTTAGCCAGAAGCAAAGATTTTAAGATAAAAATGACTTGATGGATTTGTTTCTTACAAACATGCAGCTTTTAACTTTACAAGACGTTCATTGATGAACTGGAGTTGTGTGGATTACTTATTGTGATGTTTTTATCAGCTGTTTGGACTCTCATTCTGACGGCACCCATTCACTGCAGAGGATCTATTGGTGAGCAAGAGATGTAATGCTAAATTTCTCCAAATCTGTTACGATGAAGAAACAAACTCATTTACATAATGGATGGCATGAAGGTGAGTAAACTTTCAGCAAATTTAGATTTTTAAGTGAACTATTCCTTTAACATGTGAAATGGAAAGGTGCATTTTCTCGACCCAATCTGAACATGAAGATACCATCAACCTCATACTGATTATATACAATACTGACAGTTTTTACACCATGTTTCTGATTGAGTTTAGTAAATTGACTGACAAATCTGATTAATATACTGAAAAGCAAGGCTGGCTTTTGAACTGGCTGCTCATTGAGTCACAGTCTGAAAACATGCATAAGAGGATTCTAAACAGCACATGAAAACGTTATTTTCAAAATCAATTCAACAAGCTAACTTGATTTAAACCCACACATGTTGATAGTCAAAGTTGAATCAGGTTAATGAGCATTTCAGGTGAGTTGTACCTCTGGCGAAGTCGATATTGCGTAGAGCCCTGCCCTCTCTTTTGAAGCTTACAGAGTAATGATCCATGTTCTCATAGCCGCGCTCCACTCTCTCCAGGTGCGAGGTATTCGATGCCTCTGCAATTCTAGCAAACAAGAAATCTATTTGTGTGTTTGTTCAAAATACACATTAATGTCGCAGAAAGGATCAACACTTACTTTTGCAAGAGGGGTTTGGTATTCTGTATGGCATGTGTGAAAGAAAAAGAGATTATTTATTGATAACACAAATTATGTATAAAATATACTGAATTTCTACAGGGTTCCCACAAATTTTTATCAATCTTTTTTTTTAAATCATTCAGCGCTTACATGGATTTCCATGCCAGTCTTTTGAATTCATGGATTTAAATAATGAATAGTGTATGAATGCCTCCAATAAGACCCTCAACAGACAGACTAATATTTTCACTCTGGTTTGCAGGCATGTTTTTCTTTTGCTTTTACAGCATTTACAAAAAGA